ATCACCACTTATCCCCTCCATGTCCTCTCCCACCTCCACCCACCCAAGGACAGAGGTTTTTTTGACATCACCACCCCCAAAGACAAAAAAGGCTTCAGCCATCGTTGGTGATTTCAAAAAGGGAATTTAAAATTTCACAATAGAGTTTGAGCAATAGCACAGCCATGTTGGTATTATTTGGAAAAACACATTATGTGATGTGGTAAGTGTGCCAGTATATTATTAGGTTTAAATATGTCTGTTGAATGATCAAGGGGACCAATCCAGCGTTTAGCATACTGTTTCTGTGAGAAAACATGCGCCCAGTTAAAAATGAGTTGGAGTACAGGCTATTTTTCAAATGTGGCAGCTTGTATCAAAGTAGGCACCTCGTTCTATTGCATAACACCTTCAGCAGAGTCTGGCTAGCCACACAGTGGAGAGGGGCTGGCAAATTAAGCACTTAATGGTCACTGAACAGAAATGTCCATTTTTATTTTTGTAAAGAAACTAACTGAACAGGTACAAGGAAACAACTAAAGGAAGGCAATTTCCGCAGTCAGTTCTTTCTTAGATTAGGTCTGAAACACTGAACATACAGATTATTTATCGTTAGCAGTGAAATGTACTTCAGGGAGAGGCCACATCAGGATACATAACAAAATTAAATTTTATTAACAAGGTGTTCCCAACATTGATCAATTCAGACTGATGCTGTACTTGTGTTGGTCTCCCATTTTCTAACATTTTGTTTGTTTGTTTTTGTTTTTTTATTGATTTTAGAGAGGAAGGGAGAGGGAGAGGGAGAGATAAAAACATCAATGATGATGCCGAAACCGGTTTGGCTCAGTGGATAGAGCGTCGGCCTGCGGACTGAAGGGTCCCAGGTTCGATTCCGGTCAAGGGCATGTACCTGGGTTGCGGGCACATCCCCGGTGGGGGGTGTGCAGGAGGCAGCTGATCGATGTTTCTCTCTCATCGATGTTTCTAACTCTCTATCTCTCTCCCTTTCTCTCTGTAAAAAAATCAATAAAATATATTAAAAACAAAAAACAAACAAACAACAACAACAAAAAACATCAATGATGAGAGCGAAGCATCGATTGGCTGCCTACTGTATGCCCACTACTGGAGATCAAGCCTGCAGCCCAGCCATGTGCCCTGGCCAGGAATTGAACCAGTTGAGCTCCTGGTGCCTGGGACAATGCACAGCCACTGAGCACGCTGGCTGGGCCATCTTCTAAACTTGTTTCAGGTAATAGACAAGGTGATCTGATCTTTGTTATTTCAGATGAAAATGAATGAACACAAACAGAAATGATGGGCTCTGTGGAACTATTTGCAGGCATTTACAGGGTTTCAGAGCTGGGTGCATGTCCTCTCTCTGCAGTAGGCACTGTTCCATCTTTTGGCTCTGTGGTAACTTGAAAAGCAAGTTAAATAAATATAATTCTGGTCAAGACATGTATTTCCCCGACTAAGTGGCTTTGCATTTTCAAGTTAAAATCTAAATAACTTTTCCAATGGAAGACCATCTGTTCATTTTGAATAATATCACCTGAAAACAGCAGTTTTTCCCAAATGGGAAAGAATTCCCCAGTTGTTTCCAAGAAGGTCTGAAACATCAAAATCTGGGTCTGCTTGGGATTCGGGAGTCCTCTGTGTCAGAGAAGTAGGCCAAGTTAAATTTTTCTTTCTTTTTTTTTTCAAGGAAGACCAGAGATAAAGGTAGTCCATCTTCAAAATATACTAGTACTTGAAAAAAATTATGCCTTAAGAGCATGTAATGTAAGGAGTCAGCAAAGTGGTGAGACTTGAGGATTAATAGTTATACAGGATGGTTTCCATGGTTGGTTAGTAATGTTTCTGAACTCAGAAACTATTTGTTTCTCTGACTATGCGGGTCAAGCAGAGGACAGTGTATAGGTAGGTGTGGTGGTGGAGGGGGGGCAGTGGTGTGTAGCTGTTAATGACATATTCTGAAAGTATTATTGGTTTTACATACTTTTAATGATAATGCATAATTTATCTTAAAATTTCAAATAATCTTAAAGCAGGAAGTGAGATTTTTATATTGATTAAGCAGATGCACTGGTTAAAATGCACCACATGTTGCATGAGGACCACTGGGGTCACTCATTTAGACTACTTTTTGCAAAGAGAGCAGGATTGGCCTTTTAAATAGATTGATCATTTTCAATACTTATCATCATTCAAAACAACAATGTCAAGAGAAATGATAAAATAAAAATCTTCCTATCCAACCAATAGTAACTCAGTTTTTACTGTAGAAGGAAGGATTTTCGCCCTTGCTTCAAAGTATCCATCTTTATTAGTAGCAAAAGGGACATGGCCAACATCCGAGTGGTTCTTTTCTATAGGAAGGTAAACTCTGTCTGCTTTCAAAGTATAGGCTATGTCTACCACCACACACTTTAACGGAGTTTTAAAAATATGTTTTTATTGATTTTAGAGAGAGAGGAAGGGAGAGGGATAGAGAGATAGAAACATTGATGAGAGAGAAACATCGGCTGCCTCCTACACAACCCCCACTGGGGACCTCTTGTTTCATGGGTCAGTGCTCAACCACTGAGCCACAATGGCCAGGTGTAACTATGTTAAAAGGAAGAGAGTAGGCCCGGCCAGCATGGTTCAGTGGTTGAGCATCGACCCATGAATCAGGAGGACACACTTGGATTCCTGGTCAGGGCATATGCCTAGGCTGTAGGCTTGATCCCCAGAGAAGGGCATGCAGGAGGCACCAGATCGATGGTTCTCTTTTATCATTGATGTTTCTGTCTCTCTCTCCCTCTCCCTTCCTCTCTCTGAAATCAATAAAAACATAAAAATATTTTTATTTTATTTTTAAATAGATTTTTATTTATTTCAGAGAGAAAGGGAGAGGGAGAGAGAGAGAGAAACATCAATGATGAGAGAGTATCATTGATCAGCTGCCTCCTGCACGCCCCCAACCGAACCGAACCCAGAACCCCGCAGTCCGCAGGCCAATGCTCTGTCCGCTGAGCCAAATGGGACGGGGCATAAAAATATCTTTTAAAAAGAAATAATAAAAGGAAGAGAGTGGTGGGAGTAAGTTCCCAGATACATAGACCCTCATAAGAAGTGTGAAGCTGGAGCACAGACCCTTTCAAGTACATCGCACAGGCCCATGATGACGTACCTGAATCCTCCACTCAAAGCTCACTCTGAATGGGAGAGTCAGATGGAGACTGTAAAATGGTTACAAGTGTACTTGCAAGCATCTCTACCCAAGACTTTCACTGAGGCATGCAGTTGGTCTGTTAGATTACCAGACTTTGAGCAGGTATCAGTGATTCCTGCCTCTCAGGTATGCTCATCAACCAGGTTTCTCTGTCATTATCTCACAAAAAGGCCCATTACTCTGTGAGATGTTCTAGATCAGTGGTTCCCAACCTTCTTCTTTATTGGAACCATCTTATTAACATCAACACATTTTTTACTTTATTTGGGCTTTTAGTAATTATTGAGTGAAAAAACTACATAAGGGCAAAAAAGTTACTATCAAACTAAAACTGAGAATTAACATTAATTGTTAATATCTACAGATAGTTTTTAAAATAATAGCTATATATGAATAGTAGTCACTCTTCACATAAAACTTGAAGATCTGTATTTCTTAAGGCTCTTTTGGTTGCAAATAGCAGAAACAAACTCTGGCCAGAATAGATTAAAAGACTCCAAGGAAGAGTTGGAACCAAACCTTGAGAAGGGTAGGGTCACCTCAATGGCAGTTCTTGACTCCATTCTAGGGCATGGGCATCACCTTACTCCTGGACTCCCAGTTCAACAGTTCAGATTCCTTGGACCTAGAAGCTTGTTGACCCAACTCGGGTCATTTGTCCACTCCTAGACCAGCTATGGCCAGGGAGGTGGGACATATAGTCCAGACATAGTTGCTGGGGTCACTCCTAGGTTCCATTGAGATCAACAGTTCACATTTCACTTTTCAGAATTTTTCTTCCTCCTTGAACCAAGTCCCTTTGAGAGTTTCTGTGTAGAGACTCAGAGCCAATCTTTTCTGGGGACTCTCTGAAAATTGGCATTCCCAGAGTTTAAGATTCTCTATCTCCTCTGTCATGATATTTGTCCCTCATGGTCCCATTCTGCCTTGGCAGTAAAAATTAAGGACAGCCCTAGCTGGTTTGGCTCAGTGGATAGAGTGTCGGCCTTCGGACTGAAAGGTCCCGGATTCGATTCTGGTCAAGGGCACATTGCCTGGGTTGTGGGCTTGATCCCCAGTATGGGGCATGCAGGAGGCAGCCAATCAACGATTCTCTCTCATCATTGATGTTTCTGTCTGTCTCTCTCTCTCTCTCCCTTCATCTCCGAAATCAATAAAAATACATTTAAAAAATTAAGGACAGAATAATATTTCCTCTTATGATTTCCTCTCCTTCTGAGAAATGAAAATGTGAGGGGGAGAGGGTAATTTAGCAAATGCTCTTCTTTTAACAAAATTATATTCCAGACACACGTCAGGAAAGCGGACATATTTGTCTAGCCACAGTTAATCGAAAATTTCTATACAGGAGAGACTTAGTGGGGGAATTTTGGAAGATTCACCTAAGTTATTATTTTTAGAGCAAGTCCAAACACCTCCCTCCCCCATTTGTATGGGTAGTGGATACCATAGGCGCCCTGCCCAGGTTTCCTTTCCCTGCTAGTGCACCCATCCCAGCTCCTGAGTGCTGACTGCTAATGACTCATAGCTGCTTCCTTCTCCCGACACTGCTCTCAACTGAAAGGAGTCAGCATACCCGAAAGGTTATATCCTCCCAGAATGGGGAGATCTCCATTCGAAGACCCAGTCAGCAAGGGGTCCCATAAGTAGTATATCAGGGCTGCTGTACGGAATTTTTAAATATCTGTGCAATTATCATTATAGAATATGTGCAAGACCAAATGGAGATAACTCATTCACCTGTTCATTTGGCATCCAAATTAGGGAAAAGCAAACACACACACCATAGCATGGTTGGCGTTAACCCAATTCTTTATCCAAACGACATATCAGTCCTCGTAGGTTAGATGTCATCATCATGGAAAAAGGGAGGGAGGTAGAAGAGTGATATGTTATTTAATGAAGATTGGACTTTGAACAAAATTTTAGCTGGAAAAGAGAAGAAACAAGAAACATTCAGACTTAGAGTTTTATCAAACTTCCATCCAATTTGAACTAAGATTCAAAACATACATATAAACTCTTGGCTCAAAGAAAATTTTTCTAAAAACTGATAAGCCTTTACCAGACAAGGCTGGGGTACAGGAAGACCTAAACTACAGCTCTCTGTGATTTCATTGTGTACAATCTACAATTCAAACCTTGTTACGTTAAAAAGTGGATTTTCATCTGGGCTTGCAGTATTCCTACCCTCTAATTATGTGCCAAAAGAAACAATTGTTCATATTCTGGTACATAAGATCACTTTTATAGTATTTCATGCTGTCAGTTACCACTTGAGTAATATCATAAAGCATAATATCACCAGGACTGGGTAGTTTTAAGTACAAATCCAAGGAAGAAAACCTCTTTCTTTCACTAGCTAAACGCACTGACAGACACTGGCCCTCCCAGGCCCAGGCACACGCTGCTGCTCAGCACGGAACAGTGCGTTCCAGACGTGTCATCACATTGAACACAGATAGATTTCAACTACTCCGGCATTTCCCTTGTTGACTCTGCACACTTTTGACTGGTGGTGCTCATGCAACTTGGTATTTAGGCTGTTCTCTCTCCTGAACACAAAGAACTCTGTTGTACCTGCTGAGAGCCAATCTTTAGAATAAAAGGGCCCAATGTCCATGTTCAAAACAGCCACAGCTCCCCACTCACAGGTCCCACTGCCATGTGAACCGTAGGGGATCCACATGAAGCAGCCAGAGCTGAAGGCATGTTATCTGCATGTGGCAGATCATTTTTGGTCTTCACTGAATCTTTGTCCTCATAAAGTCTTTGTAATCTTGTGTTGACAGCGAGGCTGTTACCACGGAGAAAGGGACAGAGTCAGATTTAGTTGTCCTTTGCCTTAAAGGGTCTTGGTTTCCAGAGATCTGTTTGTCTACACTATCGTGACGACAGATAAGAGCATCCCTAATTATTTCTGCTGCTACATTTGCTAGTGAATATGAATAACCACATTGACACGGGAGGTCAAAGTCAGGCCTATAGTCGATGGTAAAGAAAAACTTTGAAATAAAAGACTATTTTGGTGAAGGGATGGGAGATCCGGCACTCATGTACTGTTGGAGAGAGTGTAAATTGGTACAACCTCCATGGAAGACAACTCAGCAGTCGGTATCAACACTGCACATTTTTTTTTGACCAAACAACTCTACCTCTAGAAATTTATCCTGCAGCTATACTCACAGGTGTGCAAAATGACACGTGGGTATTAATCACAGTATTGTTTATAGTAGAAAAGTTTGAAAACTAAGTGTCCATCTAGAGGGGCCTGGTTAAATAAATATGACATAGCCATCTAGTGGAATACTCTACAGCCATCTAAAAGAACAAGGTGCTCTCTGTGTGCTGACGTGGAGGAGTCTCCAAGAGACATTGCTAAGTGAAGAAAAGCAAGGTGCAGAAAAGAATGCAATGTTATCATCAGTGTTAAAAATATATTTATTGCCCTAGCCGGTTTGGCTCAGTGGATAGAGCGTCAGCCTGTGGACTGAAGGGTCCCGGGTTTGATTCCGGTCAAGGGCATGTACCTTGGTTGCGGACACATCACCAGTAGGGAGTGTGCAGGAGGCAGCTGATCAATGTTTCTCTCTCATTGATGTTTCTAACTCTCTATCCCTCTCTCTTCCTCTCTGTAAAAAATCAATAAAATATATTAAAAAAAACATATTTATTAAAAAAACAAGCATTTGTGAAGATGATCTATATGATATATTATGATATAAATAGTCATACTATAGTTCAAATATAGACTATCTTAGGAAAGTGAATAAAAATGTATCAATTATTGCTTCTGGCAGCTCAGTATCTGGATGCCTAAGTAGGAGAAAAACTTAGTTTTTATTGCTTATCTTTTTGCACCCTTTTAAATTTTGTAGGATGTGTAAATTTTGCTAGCTCAATAAATAAATAAATAATGCATAATTTTAAAAAAATCCATGCCACTGTCTTATAAGAGAGTAGATTAGGCCTGGGAAGAAGAGAGTAGCCTTAAGTGACTCACTTTTGCTACTTCTTAGCAGATCAGATGAAAGGGATGATGGAGAAAGTTTATTTGCTCAACAAATACTTATGTGGTACTTCTCTGCACCAGGCCCTGTTGTGAGCACTTCATAAATATTTAATTCAATCCGCATAACAACCCTATGAACTCAGAGTCTTCTGCTGATGAACGTCTCACCAAAGTACATGGGAAGGAAGGAGAGGCAGCTTTGCCAAATGATTTGATAAGGGAGAAAGAAGTAAGGTACTCAAAAGGAAAAGGAGAAACTCAATCTTTGTCTTGTTAAATTGGGTCAAATAGAACTCCCAAACCAAGTCATCAAATCAATGCTCCAAGTAAACCAGAGATCACTTATTCTGTGCAAAAAACTGTTTTAACATCTATGAATGTGAGAAAGATAATAAGTATTTACCATAGACAATTCAGAGTCTTGTCTTATCCTTGGTTCAGCGAGTAGCTCAGATGCTTATCTGCTCCCTACACCAGAAGGGTCCTCATGTATAACACTGGCTGAAGTGATTGTCTACGGTTTTACACGTGTCCATTATCCCTAATTTTCAAGGAAGTTCTCTGAGGACATCACCTGTTGTAGACAAAATGGTGACGATGGCCTCGGAAGATGTCTTGGCCTGAATCCCTGGAACCTGTGAATATAATGAGACCTCAGTCTGGTGGTTATATTATGTGATATGACACAGTGGATCTTAAGAAAAGGTGACGATCTGAGTGGGCCTGATCTAAATGCCTGAGCCCTGAAAAGCAGCCCTGAAATGGCTGAGACCGGAAGTCAGACACTCCGAGTGGGAGAGGACTTGATGTGTGGATCCTGCCTTGAGGCTGGAGGGAATATGGAGAAGGAATGTGGGCAGCCTTCAGTCGCTGAGAGGCCCCCAGCTGACAGCCAGCAAGGAATTGAATTCTGCTAAGAACAGGAATAAGCTAAGAAGAAGACCCAGAGCCCTAGGCAAGAGCGCACTGACTTGTACCTGGATTTCAGCCGTGTGCAACCTGGAGCAAAGGACCCAGTTATGCCATCTGGGACTTCTTACCTCCAGATCCGTGAGATAATAAGTGGGCACTGTTCCAGTCTCCAGATGTGATATGCAGCAGTAGAAAATGAATACAGCCTCAACAGCCCCCTTTTACAGAAGAGAAAATTGGCGCTCAAAGAAGTTAATTGGTTAAAAACGATCTGGTGAAGGCTGTGTGGGCTGGGTGTGACTTAGACTTGACTTCAGAGCCTGGAAGTTCACCTTGCTCCCTCATTGCCACACCACTTACCGCCCGGGAACGGTTGGCCCTGCCCACGCTGCTGCTAAGGGGTGTGTTAACCAACCAGGAGCCACTGGAGCAAAGGAATAAAGCTCTGTCTGACTAAGGAAAGGATGACTCAGATTCTTACTTATTTTTAGAAACCAACATGAAACTATTGGCCAAGCAATAGCTCAGGTTTCTGCCGTGATCTTGATCCATGGGAGTGGCTCCTTCTACCTGCTCTGTTGAGATGCATTCATTGATCTTTTTTTGGCTACAAAGGGACTGATTTCCAAACTGGTGAAGCTGCGTGGATTTAGACAGATTAGCATCCTAACAGCAAGAGGCAGCTGGGGGAAGAAAAAACAAATCCCGTGATGGTGGTTAACATACTGAAGCACACACACAAATGCGTGCAATAAAACCCCTGTCTCCAAGGCCTGGCTTTGTAAATATTAGCTTTATAAAGACATGGTTTAAAAAGGAGTTTTGAAGAGCAGTTACCACCAGGATCTGGCCCCAGCTCCCTGTGAGCCTTCCTTCCTCTTTCTGGTTTACTCCACTCCAACCACAGGGCCCTGGGCATTCCCTTGAATATGCCAAGTCCTATGCTGCCTCGGGGCCATTGCTCATCTGCTTGCCTCGGCCTGGGACATTCTTCCTCTAGTTACTGCTCTTAATTCACTCAGATCACTGCTCAAGTGGCATCTTACTGGCGTGTCTTTCCCTGACCATCTTTTTTGAAGCAGCTGTGCTCCTTGCTTTAATATTCATAGCACTTTGACCATCTTAAACATAAAAATCTATTTATTTGTTTACTTGTTAAGATCTGTCTTCCACCCGAGAATGTGAGTTCTAGGAAGGCTCCTAGCTTCGTTTGTTTTATTCTTTGCTGGATTCCAAATGTCCAGAACACTTCTTGTCACATAGCAGGAATTCAATCAAATATTTGTTGAATGAATTAATGAATCAGGAACAAAAGCCTTGTATCTGTTTAAATAATTTGCCACTCCTGAGGTATCCCTGCATCAAATTTTTCCTCTTTAAAAAAAAAAAAAATAGCATGTGCTATCCTGTTTATTATGGAAAGGGTACTTGATTGGATGGTTGTAAAAAGTCCAGAATGAAAAATATTTCAAACTAGAGACAATGTGATAGAAAAATGAAGTCTTTCCTTGCCTTTCCAGAGTCATGTGACCTTGGAAAAGTCATTTATTTCTCTTGGCTTCAGATATCTTATGTTTTAATGGGGTAGAGTGTTATTTGAAGGGTTAAAGCAAACGGGGCCTGGAGATTTCTTCCTACACTAAGATCCTTTGAAATTAGAATTTAGTTGGTAAGAAATCAGGAAATACTGGTTTTAGCCTTGCCTATAAAAAATGTAAACTGAATGTGTAGCATAGGCCAAGTCTTTTAACCTCTCTAGGCCTCCAGAGAAACCAAAATTTCTCTGGGGTCCCCTTGAGGTCAGGTCTCAGACACCAGTAGGGGTGGGTGGGCAGCAAGGTCTACCAGATGTTCTGGTGTTTGCAAGACCTTGATCTCTAGACCCTATAGGGCAGTGATGGCGAACCTTTTGAGCCCGGTGTGTCAGCATTTTGAAAAATCCTAACTTAACTCTGGTGCCATGTCACATATAGAAATTTTTTGATCTTTGCAACCATAGTAAAACAAAGATTTATATTTTTGATATTTATTTTATATATTTAAATGCCATTTAACAAAGAAAAATCAACCAAAAAAAAAAATGAGTTCGCGTGTCACCTCTGACACACATGTCATAGGTTCGCCATCACTGCTATAGGGCCTGGGTCTCCACCTGTTGTTTGGTGGGAGTGAGGCTCAAAATTTAAAAGTTGGATCAGTAGATATTTTCCAAGCGCTTGCCATGTGCTATGTGTTGGGGGCACCACGGGGACACTGCCAACAAGGCTCCTGACCTCTTACATCCAAATGGTAGAAAACAGAGACAGCTAGGTATATGGAAAATAAATCAAGACTAATGACAAGTGCTGGGGAGGAAGGATGGAGAAGAATGCTATAATGAGAATAGCAAAAAGGAATTGTTGAGTTAACTTGGATCAGAGAAGACCTTTCTGGAACATTTAAGCTGAGCCCTAAAGGATGAGCAAAATCCAGCCATGGAAAAGCATTCCAGGCCAAGGCAAGGCAAGCACAACCATCAAGGCATTGAGAATGGAAAGGGTCAGGATGTTTCCTGGCCTGACAAAGACCAGTGTGTGAAAGGTATAGTGATTGAGGGGACAATGGCATGAGATGAGGCTGTGAAGCCCTACAAGCCATGGTGAAGTGCCCAATCATCCTTATTTGCCCAGAACTGAAAAGTTTCCTGGGATGCAGGACTTTTAGTGCTGAAATCAGGGAAGTCTTGGGCAAAACGTGATGAGCTGTTCACTCTAGCCATGGTAGCAGGTTGCACTTACCATGTCTGCAATAGGTAGTCACTGAAGGGTTTTAAGTAGGGAAATGATATGTTGTGATTTCTCTTCTCAAAAGTCACTCTTGGGCCCTAACCGGTTTGGCTCAGTGGATAGAGCGTCGGCCTGCGGACTGAAAGGTCCCAGGTTTGATTCCGGTCAAGGTCATGGACCTTGGTTGCGGGCACATCTCCAGTAGGAGGTGTGCAGGAGGCAGCTGATCGATGTTTCTCTCTCACCGATGTTTCTAACTCTCTATCCCTCTCCCTTCCCTCTGTAAAAAAAATCAATAAAATATATTTTTTTAAAAAAGTCACTCTTGGGTTTTGTGTGGCACATGCATTGGGAAGAAGAAAAATGGAAAAGGAGGCCAATTGGCCAATTATTGCAATGTACATGCCAAAGAGGATGGTGGGTTAAAATAGACGGGTGACATTAAAGAGGGAGAGATGTGAGTGGATATAAGATACATTTGGAAGGTAGAATGAACAGGACTAGGGAATGTGTGTAGTGAATGAAAAGGAGTTAAAAATGATTCCTGGGCTTCTGGTTTTAATAACGAGGTAATTCGTTTTGCCAACAGAGGGAAATCTGAGAAAGACCCGATATGGAAGTTGGGGGGAGGACAGGGATGGAGGGTCTGGAGTTCCATTGGGAGGAAATGTGATACTCGAAATGAAGACACTCTTATTGTTGATGTTCAAAGTATTTTGTAAGCAGTGTAATTAGTTCTCGTAACAGTTGTTGTGAGTTGTTAATTACCTGAACCCCATTTTACAGGCTATGGAGAAGAGCGAGTGTCAGTAATTTGCCTAAGGCTAGAGTAAATTATAGAAATAAAGCAGCACCAATTAATTCCTGGTAGTCCTATGCTCTGCCAGAGTCACTCTTTGGGTGTGGATGATTAAACTGATGGTATTTGGGGACAGTAAGGCATGGATTTTGAGGTCAATTGATTTGGAGTCATGTTGTAGCTTTGCCTCTTCTTATTTATGTGACATGGACACATATATACTGGTAAAAATACTATCCCTGAGCCTCCAGTTTTCTATAAAATAAAACTTATCTTACATAGTCAGATACTACGTATGTTCTTCCTTCCTGCTGTATCCTCTGCCTAGAAATACCTTTTCCCAAAAAACCAGCTGTCATGTATTAGAGAGACCTTCTCTGATCACTGGAGAGTGCTCTTCAGTTCTGGGCAGCACTGCCTCCCGAAGGCACTCTCCACACCCTGGTTTGATTTCTCTTCATAGCACTTTCCTGCCCTATATTTATAATATCAAGGATTTTGCCGGTTTTGTTCCCTGCCATGTCCCCAGAGTCTAAGACAATGCCTGCCACAAGTGAGTGCTCAATAATCTTTGTTGAGTGAGTGAACAAATTAAATGAAGTTATACACATAAAATACTTCACCCAATATCTGCACATAGTAGGAGCTCAATTATTGTTAGCTGTTACTGTATCAGAATAGGAATTGGGAAACACGCTCAATTTTATATGCTCCTTGTCTAAGAAACTATTTAAGTAGCGCTTCTTTGTATATTTATATTAAAAATACAAATTTTTGGCTATTCTTGAAGAGCTATTTGCTAATTTTATACTTCATTTGATTCATGAACAGAAAGTCAGTCTTTGCTGTCCTGTGGTGGTTTTTCATTGTCATTTGTGGATTCCAGTTATGTGCTCATGAGAGCAAATCATTAACATACAAGCTCACAAACAGCATGTGCGCAAGCAAACAAAACTGACTGAAGGTTCACATGTATGCTACCACCACTTAGAAGGGATGGCAATTTTATTTTTAGACAAATTGAGATGAAAATTGAGTTTATAGATGCTTCGTCATCTGTGGGACCTCCCAGGACAGAATGGAAGAGCTACAAGTAACTTTTCCTCTGTAAAAGTACTCAACTTCTCAGTAGTAATTTTCTTATAAAACATTCATTCTTAATTTCTATAACCTAGCAATATGGGTTTAACCATTCTTTCATATATATATATATATATATATATATATATATATATATTGATTTCAGAGAGGAAGGAAGAGGGAGAGAGAGATAGAAACATCAATGATGAGAGAGAATCATTGATTAGCCGCCTCCTGCACACCCCTATTGGGGATCCAGCCCACAATCTGGGCATGTGCCCTTGACCAGAATCAAACCCGGGAACCTTCATCTGCAGGCCAGTGCTCTATCCACTGAGCCAAACCAGCTAGAGCTTAACCATTCTTATTATCTTTCCTTTAACCTCATCTTCTTTAAATATTTGCTCATATGCCATCCTGTAGGTGAGGCTCATTCTGATTTCACCTTCTTGGCCCCAGCATGCCTGGACTTCCTTATCCTGTTCTATTTTGTAATCCTCAGAAATTTGCCACTTAAAGCTGTTATATGTTACTTATTTATTATATTTATTGCCTATATCCCCCCAATTAAAAAGTAAGGTTTATGAAAGCATGAATTTTTATCTATATTGTTCATTTATATGTCCCCAGGGCCTAGAATATAGTCTATCACTTCATAGATG